CCCCTCCTGAGACCCTCCCCCCATCCTAACTGGCCCCCTAGGAGCCTACCTGTACCCTGAGTGCCCAAAACCTTCTCCACCCCTCCCAAAAAGCCCCCCCGAACTCCCGCCCCCCCCCGTCTCCTGACTGCCCCCTCCACCATCTCCCTGCCCCTTCTCCTGCCCCCTGGCCCCCTTACCCTGCCGCTCAGAACAGGGTGTTGGGCTCTGTGCGGAGCCGGACACGTGGCTGCGCTCCCCAGCGCAACACACAACCCGGTCCCTGCCCCTGCACAGTGCTGCCGGAGCGGGACACTGGGCTGCAGGGGAGGAGGAGCTGCCGAGGCCCGATGCAAACGGCCCGGCAGGCCGGCCGGCTCGGAATGCAGGGAGGGAGGGGGGAGGAGGAGCTCTACAGCTGCTCCGGAGTCCAGCCCGGCAAGCTGCGGGGGAAGGGCTCTGGCTGCCAGCCCTTTCCTGCAGCCCTCCCAGCCACGCCTCGCTCTGCATGGGGGGGGAAATCCCGGACATTTTTAGTGATTTACAAGTTCCCCCCCGGACGCTATTTTTAACACAAAAAGGAGGACATGTCCGGGTAAATCCGGACTAATGGTAACCCTATGCTAACTATAACAGCACACGGCAACACTATGTAACAGGTTAAGTTGGTAAGTATAGAACCCAACTGAAAATACAATGAATTACTGCTCCAGGTAATTCATTCAGTCCAGCCAATTTCAGCTATGACTGATAGTAGTTACTAATGTGCAACTATGGCTATTTGGCGGCTTTTGTGAAATGAGCGTGTAGGTCTCATGGTAGTGTCTCCATCATTAAAAAAAAAGTCTGCTAACATTTGTACCAAGTGACAACTTTGTAAAAGTTAAATGAGCATTGTCTATGAACTATCCCCCCATCCCAGAGTTAGTCTTTCTAGATCAGCCTTGAAGCAATCTGATGTGGTAGGGCAGGGAAAAGCCTGCATTGTAGCTGCTCATACTATATCTATTCTGTAGTTAAATAAAGGACTTTGTTCCAGGGCTGTTAATTAGCACTTTTTTACAAACACAAACAAATTAAGAACAAAAAACAACTACAGAGAGGGAATTTCAGTAGAGAGATTGAAATACCCAAAACTGGTATTTGGCTAGGACAACAGTGCTAAATGCATTTCCTCAAGAAAAACGGAGGCACCAAAACTTCCTTGCCTTAAATGGCAAACTATCTACTATCATGAAGATGGAGATGCCTATTCCTCCATATTGGTGAAACATGAGGGAAGAAACCAACTAATTTATCTACTTCCCTTAGAAGTACATGTTCACAGTGAATAACTGGGTGGAGACTTCTGCAAAATCTATTGGCTATTATATGCAACACATTGTTTATGTCAGACACTCAATGTCAGTGCTCTCCAGATGACAACCAGTATAGGTAGCAAAAAGTTCTCTCTTCCCAACTAAATAGTCACCCAGAAACTACTGTATGTAAACTTTTTAGTTACATAACCTAGAGACCACAATGGAATAAAATTGCCTTTGTTCTTGTCCTGAGGCTCAAATATATCCGCTGTTCTGTGTTTCATGGAAGCCACTCCATTACTGAACCGTAAGTAGAAAAATTGCTTCAAAGGGCCCAGTAAAAAAATAAACAGCATAACAAAGGCAAACTGCAAAGATTTACAACCATCTTCCATTGCTATAATACATTCTCGCTTGCAGATTCTCACTTCTTTCCAATATTTTTCCTTAAAAGTGGAGACTGGATAGAATGGACAAAAAGTGTAGAGGTGTCTGTTCCAATGTGTAGACTCTACATTTTTATAAAATATATACTAGATTTCACAATTCACTGCATAAAAAGGAAGCCTTCCAACCTCTCTTTAACGAGCTGAGAAATGTTTCTGCCATTAACGTTGTAATTATTTTCTAAAGACCTTCATACAATTTAAAAAATTGTTGGTGTGAATATATATTTAAAGCAAAGTATAAATTATGCTGTGCTGTATGTGGGAGGACTAGCTTATATGTAATGAAGAGCCTTAGGCAATTAAGATGCCCATTTCTCATCAGCTTTCAGTGGGAGCTGGATGCCTAACTGTCTTAGGTTCCTTTTAAAAATCCAGCCTGTGTCTTTATATTAGTATCTTATGTTAGTATCTGATATGTACATTTTCTTGCCCTGTCTCTAGGGCCCAAGAAGGGCTTATAATGTTTTTAGGATAACTTGCAGGACTGGTTTACCCTACAGGATCTATGGTAAATGTGATGATACAACCCCTCAAAAGAATCCACTGGCCATGTCTGATGTGTTTAACAATGCAACTACTTTCTACTAGCCTTCCACCTGCCATTCAGAGTTTTAGCTTGAATGAAAACTGCAGAGTTATTCAGCTATGATCTCTTCCACCCAAAGAGTGCTAATGGGTAATAAGTTTTAATAAACTTGACAAACTGAATCTATGGACAACAATGGAGTATTAAATGTACCCTGAAGTTTACCGTATTTTTGCCAGTAGCAAGACAAAAAAGGAATTCGGAAAGTACACCCCATCCTAATGAACAAGAATAAATCACCACATTGTATCCTCTAATCTTGTCTCTACTGCAGCTTTACCTTAGGAATTACAGTAATAATTGTATCTTTTTGTAGGATTATATCTAATACACTAGGTGTTTCCCAGAAAATATTCACCTTTAAAAGAGCATCAACATAGACATTGTGTTGTGACATGATCTCTTTCACATCCCACTTCACATTAGCCATGAGGAGCAGCATCTGTTCATAATCAATAGCTTTAGCAGCTACAATCCAATAAATTGGTTTGCGTAGTTCACTGGCAGTTGACACCGTCTGAAAGAGAAGTTAAATAGAATTTGGTGTAATAGAACTTCTTGCTAACAAAAAGTAATGTATGACAATACCATGTAAACACCCTCATAATATAGCACAAATTATGAAACTTTGGTTTAAAAATGAACAGTGAATGGCAGAATCCTGACCTGAGAGTAGAATTGCTGGAGAAAGGGTTTCTTGGCTGCAGGCATCACAGCATCAAGATGCGACTGAAGGAACTCAAACTGCTCAGCCAAAAACACCCTAAGAAAGCATATAAAATTCATTGTGATCCGAGTACAATATTTAACGGGCATCTACTTTTTATTTCTTTGCAGCAAATGGTCTTGGAAGCAGTCCAGGCATAAAAGCGCCTTTGAAAGCTTTTAGCTTTAAAACTTTGTTTCCATTTTTATGTCGATAGTCTGTCAGGAACTCAGTATTTTATATTTTTGCTCCTTTCCATTCCCATGTGGTTCATGGTAGATCATACATAAAAGGCCTAATCCAAGGCCAGCTGAAGTCAATGGAAAGATTTAGATCATATTAGATTCCGTCAGGTGTTAACATCCTGATGTTGATGATTTACTTCTAATTTATTTGAAAACAGCAATCTATTTATTGTGTTTTATGACTTTAAGATGGACCTCTCAAAAAGATAGGCAGTGACCATAATTATTTAAACACCTCATGGATTTTAAAAAGGTGGTTTACAGTAAATAACTTACAAGGATTCTGTGGCTACCACTCTCTCTGCCAAACCATACAGAGTATTGCCAGATGTTAAAACTACAAGATGACTGAGGTGTGGGCTTGGCACTTTCTCCTTTCTCTCTTCAGCAGCTGTGAGGGTGCCAGTGGTATCAGTAGAGACCTCCTAAAACAAAAAGTTTAAAGACTGAAAAAACTAATCAATTGTAAAATATGGAATTTCAGCATCAAACTAGAGTTGAATCAAATTTGACAACTGATTGTCTCAGGGAATGGGTAATATAAAGCCTCTCTAGTCTAAGTTGCAAGTGAAATCCTGTCCAGATCAATGGTGACCAAAGTGGTTATTATTAGAACATTTAATATCCCAGATGAAATGACTTGTCTTAGTCCAGTTCCTAGTGGACTGATACGCAGGCCACAGAAACTAATGCAGTTTGCACCAAATGTGGCAGTTTATCCATACACACTTTGACTTAACTGCATAGACAGTGAACCAGCTTCTCACCCCTAGAGAGGATCTGACTTTAGACACATGAGCAGGAAGAGTGTAGGGAAGTTGACACTGCTGCTGCCTAATAAGGGACTCTTCTAGGTTGTGATTTTCACCTAGTCACAAAATTTACAATCAAATGGAAATTATATATTTAAAATAACTCTGATCTTATTCTGTAGGAATTCCCATCCCGCAGAAATCTCACTTTCATATTACTTAAGTGGAAAAGCAGAGGAAAATAATTTGCTCATATAAAAAAGTGGAAGTAGTAATCACCAAATTTCTCATTACACAGTAGAATGCTCAGCTGGTACATGACTCAAGACAGAGAAAAATGCATAAGGCCAAGGAAAGGAACTAGTTATGACAAACAAGTTACACAGATATCTAAATGCAAAACTCAGGGTATGTCTACACTGGGACACGCAAGAAAATTAATCCAAATTAACTTTCAAAGTGGATTCGTACCCTTAATTCATTTTATCTTAATTCACAAAGCGAAAAACTAGATTTAATTAAGACCACTTTAATTCTGAATCAGAGTGTCCACATGGGGGTTCAATGTGATTTAACTATCTACTTTGAAACTTAATTCAGATTAATTTTCCTGAGTGTTCCTGTGTAGACAAGCCTTTAGAAAACAATGGAAAATTTTAGGTGTGCAAATAAAAGCATCCAAAGCAGAGAGATTCAGTTCTGACATTAACCAAGATGAGCAAAATCACATCAGAGCTAGCTGATCTCATAAGATTTCCATGTTTTCCCAATCTTGCAAGATTTCTGCCATTTGGACACAAAGTTTTATGAGATTTCAACACCATCAGATCTAGTCCTGATTCCTGCTTTTCTTCACACTTGAGCACCATCCTCAACTTAATCCGTTGGCTAGAGGATCCCCAAAAAATCATGTCGCAAGAAGCTGCAATTTTATCAAACACAAAGAAAGAAAGAAAGAAAGAAAATGAATATAGTCTTTGTAGCACAGGGCATCTGTGACCAATTGTTCCCCTCCCCCAAATAGGGATAGTACAAATGTAAAAAAAGCATCAGCCAGCCTACAGGGCATGCGCAAAGGTGCAGCTACCATAAAAATCAGCAAGGGCAATCTGTGCCAGGACTTCTTTCTATGCTACAGTGCAGTTGAAGCTAATAGTTCCCTGTATACTATGCTCTGCTGAATCTGTCTTGATAAATACCATGCAAGTGTTAAGTCAAGCAGCTATTTAAACTGTTTAAAAATGAACCACTGTTCATAACTGAAACTCCTCTCAAATGATTGGCAAACCTCACACCTATAATTCTCAACCTGCTAATGCTTAACACAGGTCTTTAAAAGCCGCAGTTCACAGCAAGAGCACTATGAAAATGCACTGGTTAAAAGCTTGTCTTCAAAAGCAAGATCAGGCCCACGAGAAACATTTGTGTCACAGTTCAGGGCAACTGTACCTTATTTTTCCAGTTACATAAGTAACCAATGCCAATATGACGACATTGATTATTAAACATTTACATTTTGGTAGCACCCAAAAGCTACAGAGGTATACGGTCCCCACCTAAAAGGTTTACAGTCTAAGAGACACCAGCAGAGACAAAGGGTTTGGGAAAGGGATACAACACACAAGCTGTGACATATTACAGATACATAGAATATCTTATATCAATTTTATAAATGTTATATCAGGGGTTCTCAAACTGGAGGTTGGGACCCCTCAGGGGGTCGTGCGGTTATTACATGGGGGGTCGCGAGCTGTCAGCCTCCACCCCAAACCCCGCTTTCCCTCCAGCATTTATAATGCATTTATACTAAAAAGTGTTCTTAATGTATAAGGGGGGGGGGGGGCTGCACTCAGAAGCTTGCTGTGTGAAAGGGGTCATCGGTACAGAAGTCTGAGATCCCCTGGGTTAGATGTATCCGTATGGAGTTTATATTTTAGCTCCATAGTAGAGTTTCCAGTGGGAATTAAAGTCACTGCAGGGTAATTAACAGAAATCTGTACGCAGATAAGTCTGAAGAAGTTTCACCTCCACAGGGGAAATTACATATACTAATTTGATAAACTGGTTAAAGAGAGCTAACAAAGAACCGCGAACTATATAAAGTGATTACCCTGAAGCAGGGAGAGAGATCACTCTCACTGTATTCAAGAACTACTTGTCACTGTGACCAAGAGACAGGACTGGCTCTAACTTTTTTGCTGCCCCAAGCAGCAAAAAAAAGCGCCGCCCCGCCGAGCCTCCCCCCCCCCGAGCGCCGCACGCACCCCCCCCCCCACGCCGCTGGAGCCCAACCTGCCTCTGAGCGCCGCGCCGCCGGAACCCCACCCCCCCGCCGAGTGCCGCGCCCTGCGCCGCCGGAGCACCCTCCCTGCGGAATGCCACGCCGTGCCACCCCCCCCCCCGGCACCCCAAGATTGGCCGCCCCTTACCAGGTGCCGCCCCAAGCATGTGCTTGGTTGCCTGGTGCCTGAAGCCGGCCCTGCCAAGAGAGACAGGGCCTGCAGTACTTTGCTCCTTTCAGGTTTTTCATGTGGAAGATGGGCAACTGACTGGTAAGCTAAAACCTCCATGTAAGCTCTTTATTTTATTTAAAATAGGTTTTCTTTGTAATACTTTTGTTCTGAATAAATACTTTGCTTCATGAAGACTGGCTCATCACTAGCTAACCCTGTCATAGCCCTCGAGAGAGCAGAATTGCAGGTGCTGACCTAAAATCAGACCTGCTAAGGTGATCACAGTGAATTGCAGCCTAAATACCTGGTCTAGAGGCAGAGAGTGATGGGACTGCACCACGAGAAAGGTGACCGCTAGAGGCTTGAGACCTAAGCAGGGTGCCCTCCAAGAAACCATGAAGGAGTCAGAGGTGCAATTACCTCAGAAATTGTGATACAAGAAAACACAGATAGTTGCCACAGTTTTGTTATTTTCTTTTTACTGGGGTTAGAAAGAGTGAAGAGGAATAGCAAGGATTGGGGAGCTACAAGAGTAAATGTGTAAGGAAAAGGAATCAAGAGGAACAGTCACAGCTGCCTATTCACGGTCAACCGGCAGGATGATTCTGTAGGCATCAGGCAGAAGGACTCTAGAGGAGGGATCTGAAAGAGGATAAGGTACTGGCTGTACACATTTTTTCCTGGGAGCTTTTCACATATATAAAATAGGGCTGTCGATTAGTCACAGTTAACTCACATGATTAACTCAAAAAATGCATCGTGATTAATCACAGTTTTAATCGCACTGTTAAACAACAGAATACCAATTGAAATTTATTAAATATTTTGAATGTTTTTCTACATTTTCATATATATTGTATTCTATGTTGTAATTGAAATCAAAGTGTATAGTTTTATTACAAATATTTGCACTGTAAGAATGATGAACAAAATATTTTAAATTCCTCATACAAGTACTGTAGTGCAATCTGTCATGAAAGTGCAGTTTACAAATGTAGATGTTTTTTGTTACATACTGCACTCAAAAACAAAACAATGTAAAACTTCAGAACCTACAAATCCACTCAGTTCTACTTCTTGTTCAGCCAATCACTAAGACAAACTGTGACAGGATCCCCCCGGGGTGTAGCCTGGGACTGTGGGACCACTGTGCCCCCTTAACTTTCTCCAGCCTGGGCTGTCTCTCACAATGCCTTGTTAATGACCACCAGCAACCCCTCCAGGCACTGTGATCACTCAGCACAACAGCATGTGGAGCCCCACACACCCAGTTAGATTGCATGAATGCTCCCAGAGCCACTCATGAATCACACAGAGAAAGGGACCAGAGTCAAATTCCCCCCCGCCCCCCCCCCCCAGCACTGTACCCCAGGAATATACTGTCTTGCACTGCTCAAGATGGGCAGTGTAGATTTATTAATTGGTTCACCACTTCATCAATTGAAAGTTGACATACACAGTCTTTGCAAAACCTGAGCAGATTTGCCCCACAGTTCATACAAACTCACTGGTAAAGATAAACGATTAAACAAATGTATTGACTATAAAAGATAAATTTTAAGTGATAAGCAAAGAGTCAGTTAGTTACCAAAAGAAATGAAATATAAGCATGCAGTCTAAACTTTCAACCCCATTAGACTGAGCGACATCTAGATTAACCAGTTTTTCTTACCCCAAAGAATATTGCAGTTCTTAATATAAAGGTTTGTTCATTAAACCTGGGCCAATCTCCTCTGTTGGAGTCTTGTTTTCTTTTCAGTGTCTTAGTTGCTTGCAGTGTAGGTGGGGGCAGGAGAAAAGGTGAAGTATGGGCCTGCTCTGTTCTGTTTTATACCCTCAGTCCCATGTGCTTGGGGAACAAACAAGTCCAGGCATGTCTGATATGAGTCTCTAGGCAAGGTTGAGCAATTCCCCTGGTGTGGCCTCATGCAGGTGAGTTATTAAATTGTAGCTTCCTTGCTGGACAATGGCTATTGATGGGTTGTTTGAAAACCTGCCCAGGTGTTGGTTACTTTCCTTGCTGTTGCCTCTGAGGAGCTACTACTTACTTATGCGACAGGCATACAACACAATTATCATAACTTCATATATATTAATGATATACATATATGGATAGAGAAATGACTTTCAGCACATCATAACCTTTCCCCTGATACATATAAAGCATGCCTTGTAAGGTAAGATCACAAACATAAAAGTGAGGAATATGGGGGTTCCAGG